GACGCTGAGCGCAACTTCCGTGAAATTAGAGAATTGGACGCGAGTTGGCGGTAACAACTTATCACAGATACGCAGGTGTGCTGCGGCATCAGGGTCAGGGTGCAAGTGGAGCACCTGGGGTGCATGCAGGGCTTGTCGCAGCCCCGTTACCTGAGACACCTCGTGCATGTGCACAACTTTAATATGATCAAGGAAGGCATCTCGAGACTGAGCTGTGTACCGCTGGCGGACATGTTGATATTTTCGAATCAGGCATTCAAGTTGACGGATATGCGCAGTCATATTTGCATTGGAGATGTTATTGTATGTATATAGATAGATAGATAGATAGATAGATAGATAGATTGTCACATGATATCAGAGCGCCAAAGCGAAAAAACAGAAAGAAAACAAGGAAAAAAAAATAAAATTAAAAAAAATCGTTTTTAATCTTCTTCGTTACAACTCCCCCCCCTGTTCAGAACCTCTTGCGTACACGGCCGCCCACATGGATGTAGGTTGAGCGGCGGCTGCCCCCACCCCCGTGTGTCATATCGACCCACTTGCACACAGCCAAAAGGCAAAGAGGCAAAGAAGAGAGGAAGGGAACAGCCAAATAAAACAGACAGAACAGGGGGCAACAAAACAGATCCCAGATGACACGTCCCACATGCAGCACCGCCCCCACGTCACAGGCCAAACGACGGGACAAGACCAACCAGGATGCCAAAACCTTGTCTGCAAAAAAAAAAACAGAAGTACCAAAAAGAACCCATCCCGGTTGACGAGTCCCACGTACAAGCACCGCCCCGCGCTCAAAGCGCCGAACAACGTGAAACAACCAACCAGGATACCAAGACAATAAATAAATATAAAAAAACGGACTGGTCCCACATGAAGCACCGCTACCTGCAGCAACATAGACCGAACAACGGCCCGGGGACAAAACCAACCGGAATGCAGCAGACAAGGTTACCAAAACAAATTCTACAATTATATCCATAGTTAAAAAAAAAAAACGGAACCATACAGTAAGTAGATCCGCAAAACGAAATACCCTTAAAGAGGGTAAAAGCAACACGAGATAATGTGGGATGATAGGACGAGGATTCAGGGATATTTCCAACGTAAATGAATTCTTGGGTGAATATATATATATATATATATATCGTCAAATAGAACTGCCCGGTAAACCGTAGGCAGAGAGGGAGAAGAGGACAACAAACGAGGGGCTGTGACAAACTGTTTCGTCGGAGTTTCATATATATATATATATATATATCGTCAAATAGAACTGCCCGGTAAACCGTAGGCAGAGAGGGAGAAGAGGACAACAATATATATATATCGTCACAAACAGAACTGCCCGGTAAAACCGTAGGCAGAGAGAGAGAAGAGGACAACAAACAAGGCGCTAGTTAATATTTAATGCAGTTAATTTGAACTTAGTAATTTTTTGCAAATATTTTGATTCTTCTGCAATTATAGGTAATTTATTTGGACTATATATATATATATATATCGTCACAAACAGAACTGCCCGGTAAACCGTAGGCAGAGAGAGAGAAGAGGACAACAAACGAGGGGCTGTGACAAACTGTTTATGTATATATATAAAGTTATATATACAGTTAAAGACTGCAGATGATTGGCAAAGTGTTGGTACCCAATCATCACATACCCGCATGCTGGTCATGATGGTGGGTGATAACCACCACAATTGCAATAGACAGGGCAAAGCAGTCTAATATAATCAACCAACCAACCAATCAATCAATCAATCAAATTGAACCCAATCCAATCCAATCAGTCAATCAATGGCCAAGACAATCACTAAGTAAGATCTGCAATCACACAGACTAGCTTATTCCCCCGAATACAACGTACGGTCAATATAGCTGTATTTGACGCATCTTTCAGTCTAGATACAGCTAGAATGACCGTACATCATACTCGGGGCCGATGACTAACAACGCCCCCCCCCACTACAGGCACGGCATCTCAACTCTCCGGGATTACGGGGATTACGGGGACTGGTATCATGATTATGCTTATTTCCTAACATAATTCTTGATTTATTATTAATCATCTGTTTAGGTAATTAACACCCAGAAACAAAACAAAAAAAAAACAGTAAAACACAGCATATATATACAATGGTTTTGAATCTTTTTTGATGATGTATATAGTATACAACACCATACATATATATGATTATAAATTTAATAAAACCACAATTATTCAGGTACAAAAGTTGCCCCTAAAGCTCACTCCCCCTCCTCCCTCAAAACGGTCTTCATTTCCTTCGTTTTTGGATCCTCACTTCTCTGCTCCATCATCCCCGGAAGACAACAGACCGTCCACCACCCCACCTCACAAATCACCCTCTGAATACAACGCACCCTACTACAGGTCATCACCATCCGTACATGACAGGCATATACCAGCCAGAGACATTTTCCAGCATTCAAAAACAAGCAAAGCGAACAACTGACGCGCACCAATTCCAATTCCAAAAAAAAAGCCCGCAAGAGAATTGAGTCCGGAGTCGTCGAGAAGTTGGTCGTTCCCACCCTACCAAAACACTGCACAGACTCTCACACACTGATATTTCTCCACACCCAAATGAATCAAAAAAAAAAAAAAAAAAAAAAAAGACACAAATTACTAAATTAGATATATATGTTCCAACAAACAAGCGCCAATCAAGAAGGAGACCAAATGCTTTGAATCCTTTTCAACATGAACACACTAATCAGTCGCCCACCATTGCAGATACCACGATGAAGGACATCCCCCAAGCAACCACCCAATTCCGGCGCCCAACTTCCTCCTCTTCTCCTTCTACTCCCCCCCCCCTCCCCCCCCAATTCTCCCCCTTCTCCCCCCCTCCCCTGAACCTTTCCCTTCCGCTTTTCCAAGACCCTACCCCTCCTCCCTTCATCGCCCTCTACCTCTCCTCACAGAACGAGAATCCCTTTAGAAGACGCTCCAGCCATTCGACACCCTCTCTTTCTATCCCCCCCACAATCTCCCACTCCCAACAGGTGCCTCCTCCTCGCAGAAGAACGGCGACCGCTGAGATATGTTGGCTGCAGATTGGATCGCTGATTAACTGATCAACATCCTGATTGATTAACTGATCGCCATCCTGACATCCTGATTGATTAACTGATCACCATCCTGACATCCTGATTGATTAACTGATCGACATCCTGATTGATTAACTGATCGACATCCTGAGTGATTAATTGATCGACATCGTGATAGATTGACACGCACTACTCCTTCATTCCGGTCCGGTCTCATTACCACCACGTGGACCTTGCAAATGCTGTCTGCCACATCATCACCCGTCCCATTCATTCAAACAGGACTAAATCTTAACCGCCAAATGGAGCTCGAGGAAGCTGCCACGCCATCTTCGTCATTCACATTCCCTCTTCCACAATGACCCATCATCAATGCTATTGAGCTGACCAGCTTCCAGATGTCGCCAAATCATCCGATGTGCGTGTGGTGTACTCGGGAGCACAACCCCTTCTACCCATACGAAGGACCATCAGCAATTCCAGGCCTTTCACCTCCTCCCCCCCCCCTTATCACGGTAGAGAACATAGTAAATTCCATAACAAGTCGTTGTAGAAGAAATCCTCTGCCCATTGCCAGTGCACAAAGTACAGTCGGCAAACGCAGGACTTTCACATATCCTCCTCCTCCTCCTCTTATCACCGAAGACATTGTATCAGTTAGGACGCGGCTACGAAACTTAGCCCACTCTTCATGGACAAAGGGCAATCAGCAATTTCTGGACTATCAAACCTCATACAAGGAGGACAATCAATAATTTCAGGAAGGACTTCATATCCGCTCCTCCTCCTCCTCCTCCTCCTCCTCCTCCTCCTCCCCGTAGCACTGAGACCATAGAAGATGGATCCCATTCGTTCAGTCCATAACGAGTCGTTGTTGAGGAGATCTTGAGCGCCGTTCCCCATGGCCGGAGGACAATCAGCGATTGCAAGAGACCTTCACATCGCCTCCTCCTCCTCCTCCTCCTCCCCCTATCATCGAAGCCATAGATTCCATAACAAGTGCTTGATGAGAAAATTTTGCAGAGTCTTCATGCACGAAGGAGAATCAGCAAAACCAGGACTTTCACATCTCCTGCTTTTTTCCACTTGAAAACAGAAGGCGCAGAATTCCATAACAAGTTTTGTTCGAGTAGCATTGCCCACTAAGCCTCTCGTGGTTTCGCTCATCAGAGCTTCCAGGATTTTCATGTATAGCCTTCTTTACACCATACTCCTTCCCGGAGATTCTCTCTCTCTCTCTCTCTCTCTCTCTCTCTCTCTCTCTCTCTGTCTCTGTGTGCGACAGTGTGTGTGTGTGTGACAGTGTGTGTGTGTGTGTGACAGTGTGTGTGTGTGTTTCTGTGCTCGTCCCTTTTCCGAATCTCTTCTACGATTTCCTTCCTTATGTCGTTTCGTTCATCTCTCTAAAACATTCTCTCTCTCTCTCTCTCTCTCTCTCTCTCTCTCCCCCCTGCTTCTCCATGTTTCATCGTCCCCTTTCCCTTCCTTCCTTCAAAATGTTCAGCCTTTCTCTCCATTTCATCCTGATTCCATCCATCCGTCCGTTGATACTCTGGAAGATCAACGCTTCGCTGAGAAATAGCTTTGCTCCCCTATATGCTTACCTCACTTCTCTCCCCCACAAGAATGTTGGCGGCAAGCTAAGCCATAACCCCGCTCCTCTTTCGTTCTACTGTCGGCGACATGTCTAAACGCTCACAGCCGGGGCAAGGTCCCACTTGCACGGTGATTAAGAGATTCTGGCCGTTGATCTTTGCTATCCTATCTACGGTCCCGACCCTCCTTTGCTGCAGAGTTTTGGCGCCAAACCCTGCGCCCAGGTCTCCTTTCCTTCAAATTCCCCCCCCCCCCCTCTTTGCCTGAGCTTTTGGCTTTCGGCTTTTGGCGGGAATTCCTTTTATCTTCTTCTCCTTCCACATTCTGCAGGCCAAGCGCTACACACTTATACCCTCTCTTCCTTTTTCCTGACTTTTTTTTTTTTTTTTTTTAGCCCAAGTCAAATATTCCCTCTCCCGCTTCGTCGCCTTCCCTCTAGATTTCGGCGGAAAAGCTTTTACACACGATCTTCTCCCTCCCTTTCAAATTTTGGCGGGAAAAATCGAACACCACCTCCCTCTCTTCCCCTTTCGGACTTTGGTAGCCGCGGCAAGAGCTTCACACCTCTTCCTTCTTCCGTTCCGATTGATTTGGCGGGAAACTTCAACCTGCTCCTCCTCTCCTTCAGACTTATGGCACTACACTCCTTAAGCCCGATTCTCCCTCAGATATTGGCGGGAAACTTCTCTAAATCTCCCCCTTGAACTCTTCAAATTTTGGCGGCAACCACTTCTTTCAACCTCCTCCTCCTTTCCTTCAAATTTTGGCGGCAACTTCAACCTCCTCCTCCTCCTCCTGTCCTTCAAATTTTGGCGGCAACCACTTCAACCTGCTCCTCCTTTCCTTCAAATTTTGGCGGCAAATTTAACCTGCCTGCTCTTCCTGTCCTTAAGAATTATGGCGGCAAACTCTCAAGCCCGACTCTCCCCTTCAGATTTTGGCGGCAAACTAAGTTCCTCCTGCGCTCCATTTTCGCCTCCGTACCGTCAGATTCCCGCGGGAAACTTCAACCTGGAATTCCTTTTCTTAAGAATTTTGGCGGGGGTTTTAACTCTAAAAAAGCCCAATTCAATTCTCCTTCAGATTTTGGCGGCGAACTTCGAATCTTCCCGCGCTTACCTTGAGATTTTTTTGGGGCGGCAATTTTTTTTTTATCTCCTGCTTACCTTCAGACTTTTTTGGCGGGAAACTTCTTTTTCTCCCCCGCTTCGCCGCCTTCCCTTTCAGATCTTGCCGGCAAATCTAAAACACCACCTCCTCCTCCTCCCCCTCTCCTTGACAGATTAAGGCGGGAAACCGTGAGCGATTTTAGCGGCAACCTTGAACGATTTAGCCAGGAAACTTGATTAAACCTGCTGCTGCTATACATCCTCCTTTCCTTCAGAATTTTGGCGGGAGACTTGAACGATAACGCTCGCTTCGCTTCTCCTCCTTCGAATTTTGGCGGCAAGACGTTTTCATTGGCTCTCCCCTCACTTTCGTTTCACTCCTTTGGCGCCAAACCTGTACCACCCCCTCCTCCCTCCTCCCTCCTCCCTCTCAGGTATTCCGCGGCAAACTTTCCCCCGCTCCTCCTCCTGTTTGTTCTTTGGCGGGAAATCGGAAACCTCCTCCTCCTCCATTTTTGAAGGCAAATCGGAAACCTCCTCCTCCTCCATTTTTGGCGGCAAATCGGAAACCTACTCCTCCTCCATTTTTGGCGGCAAATCGGACACCACCTCCTCCTCGATTTTTGGCGGCAAATCGGAAATCTCCACCTCCTCCTCGATTTTTGGCGGCAAATTTACCCACGCTCCCCTTTCCCTCTCTTTTCTCTTTACTCCCCAAAACATATCAACAAAACCCCCATCCCATCATCCCTCTACTTCTACCCCCCACCAGTCCCACATATCAACCAACCCCCCCCCATCATCCATCTACTTCTACCCCACACCAGCCCCGCATATCAACAAAACCGCCATCATCCCCTCAACTTCTACTCCTCACCAGCCCCCCTCCCCTACCCCCTCCCCTCAACTTCCGCCTATCTCCATCACCTCTTACGTACAACGCTGGCCACGTGGATGATAGTTGAGCAACGACTTCCCCCATCCCACGTGTGTAGGGTTCAGCCTCCTGATGAGTAGGTAGGTAAAACTCCCACGAAACAGTTTGCCATCCCACGTGTGTAGGGTTCAGCCTCCTGATGAGTAGGTAGGTAAAACTCCCACGAAACAGTTTGTCACAGCCCCTCCCTCGTTTCTTGTCCTCTTCTCCCTCCCTCTCTGCCTACGGTTTACCTTGCACTTTTCTGTTTGACGATATATTTACATATATATATTATATTATTTACATATATATTGTCACATGATATCAGAGCGCCTAAGCGAAAAAAACAAAAAAACAAAAAAATCTTAAATTCGTTTTTAATCTTCTTCCTTACAACTCCCCCTGTTCAGAACCTCTTGCGTACAAGGCCGCCCACGTGGATGTAGGTTGAGCGGCGGCTGCCCCCACCCCCGTGTGTCATATCGACCCACTTGCACACAGCCAAAAGGCAAAGAGGCAAAGAAGAGAGGAAGGGAACAGCCAAATGAAACAAATAGAACAGAGGGAAACAAGACAGATCCCAGATGACAAGTCCCACAC